TTTCTATGGTCCCCTACAGTGGGAATTGACCCGTATGTAGTCTGGTTTAAGGTGTTTTCTAGTTATTGAGAGTATTCAAGTTTTTATACTTGTTGGTTTTATTCGAATTACCCATGTCCAAGGCTAGGTATAGAACAACGAGCATGGCACACTTATGGGATATATTGAGTAAAGGTTCGTATTATTATTCGACGTTGAGTTGATAAAGGTTATTTTCAGAGTACAATGTGTTATGTAGTTTTGAACTACATTATTTAATTGAGCTAGTAATGTTGATTATCCTATTATACTCTGTATTCTGATATGTGGTGATTACTCAGCTTTTGCTAACGTGTGTGTTGTTTTGTTTTGCTACTTGTGTTTGCGGTCATGTCTTTTTTCTTATGGTGGCCCTACAACGATCTATTTTGGAATTTGTCCTTAATGGTGAGCAGTCAAGATTGTTTAAGCAAGTTAATCAAGTGATCGTAGCTAAAGGAGCTCAAGTGATCGATTAGTATGATATAACGAGTTTGTAAAGTTGTAAATAGCTCACCTAGATTCATTGTGTTGTAATTATTGGGATTTTTGTAAGCCTTAACACTTGACAAGTTGTCGAGTGTGGCGGTAATACCTCCGATTTAGGTGTATGCTTCCGCAATTTTATTTAAAGGTTGTTTATTTTCCCTTTGTTTATTGTTTATTAATAGCTAGTAAATTGGGGGTGTTACACATCCTAACATGATACTAGGAATTAATATAATTTAAGCATGCTTCCTATATTACTTTGTTGCCACGTATCTCTTTCTATCAAAACAATACACACGATAGTAACTTCAAGGAAAATATTAAATCAAACAATTAATTTAAATAATTGAAATAGGGATTTGGGACCAAACCCTTAGAAATTGTCAACCTTTTACATATAGGGCAAAGGCAAATTCAAGCTTGGCTAGGTGTGCCTAAGTCTCGTGAATGCGGTATTGTATTTGAAAAGGCAAGTTTAGAAAGAGGAAGAAATAACAAGCTTCTAGCTTTGAAGAGAGAAGAGAATTAGAATTAGATGATTGTTGATGATTAAAAACGAGGGAAAAGACCCTATTTATAGAGAAAACATCCGGAATGCTTCGAAAAGAGTTAGAATCCGACTCGAATTATAACAGAGCCTATCGCGGCGCAAAAGGCTCTCCGCAACGCGATGGCTTGATCAGGATAAAAATCATGTACGGAGTCCTTTTCCTAATATAATTAGTTAATTAGACTTCGTAATTATCTTAATTTAAAATCAGTTTTATCTTCTAAAACACTTGTTTTATTTCAAATTAAATTCCTTATCTTTTCTAAAAATAATAAAAAAAAAATTATTATTAATCCTAACTCCATTAGAATTTAAAATAACCTTCTAGATTATTCTAGAAAATTAAAGCAATTCCTAATAAATTTAGGAACGATTATTAATGGGCCCTCCACTTGATCATTGGGCCATATAAAACCATTTTTGGCCCAATTTAATATTTTAGCCATACCTCCCTCATTATTCATCGGAATTGGGCTTTTAATATATTATTGGAAAACTCTTTTCAAGCCCTATCCAACTACACTATTATTGTACCCATATAATGGACCAAACTAAATTAGGAAGTACATTTCCCATAAATAAGGCACAAAAAAAGAAATATTTTTAAAAACAGAAAGAAATATTTTTTTATTAAAACACAGTTGCATCACGAGACTCTTTCACATTTCACCTCGTTCGATAATCAAATGACGTGAAAATTATTCATCACTGGGTTTGGTTTTTGGGGAGACACAATCAGGTTTCTACAATTATTATTATTATCTTTAAATATTATTAATTATTATTATTAAATATTTATTATTATTATTATTAATTATTTTTAAGCAGAACAAATTAAAGCAGAGCAGATTTCAACATAATAAAGAAGAACTTATCAAAGCAGAGTAGCTCAAAAGAATAGGGCCTAGGTCTGCTACACCTAGAGGCACAATGTGCATAAATGTTGGATGGGCTTGGTCATTTTTATGGAATATGCAAGCCTCTCATATTGATATACTAGAAAAGCATTTCAAAAGGGGTATGCTAATCTTTTTGCATAGCAAGTTGAGACTATTATGTCGTTTGCTTTGTTACATCTTAGGAGTTATGAATAAGGTGTTAACACCTGAAGTTAAGGGTGTTCGTTCGTTTTTCGGTTTGGATTTAGTCTAAATTCAATCCAATCCAATCTAAAATACTATTCGATTATCAAATTCCCAATCCGATCTACTCCGAATTTTTCTCCCAATCCAATCCGTATTAAAGTTCAATTATTTGGATCCGATAAAAAAATCCAAATTATAATACATTATTTATTGGAGCCTAATATGATTATAAATATAAAGCTTTAATATTAATACAAGTCTTCAAAATCATGATTAAAATAAATAGTTCAACTATAATACCTTGTATTTTCATACGTATTTTCTAATTAATTAATTAGGAATTATTTTATAAAAAAGGAATTTTACTAAATTTGTTACTTGGAAAATGATATTTGAATTTTGGCGTCAAAAGTATTTTGATATCTAATTATTATTTTAGATAAGATTTATAATCCATTTATCTTATTTTAAAAACCGGATTATTTATATATTTCAGACATTTTAATTAAAGCAAAATTATATTTTATTAATTATATTAAACGGCCAAAAATTCCCTATTTATCTAGGAAATTCGAATTTTCTATGTTTAGAAAATCTGATTTTCTTAGTTATTTATTGGTGAATAATTGGTATTTAATTAATTAGTTATTAAATTAATTATTTTATATTATTTACACAATTATTTTTATTCCTTAAACCGAGCAAAAATCTTCCTAAATACTACTAGGGGGAAGATTTTCGGCCCTCTTGAATTATTTTGGGGGAATCTATTTTGGTAAATTGTATTTTTAATTATCTCCCAAATATCTATTGTTTTCCTTAATTCTATTTTTCCATCTTCTTAATACTTGATCTCCTACCTTTTATTCCTCTTAATTATTCCCCAAGTAATTCCAATTTCCATATTATTTTCATGACAAACATACCTTCCATATTTTAATTTATTACACACAATAACCTTAATATCGAAACTTTCCATATTTCTTTCATTCACTTCTCCAAGTAATTCCATAAACCTTACTTGCCATAATTCTTCCTACATTTTCCTACCATAATTCATGCTCATTATAGCCTATAAATACCCCTTCAATTCATGATCAAACTCTCACTTTAATTCTCATAATCTCTCTTATACCTCTCTTAAATTCTTTTCTTATTTCTTTCTCTTTGCTCCTCCTTGCGCACCACCTCCACCGTGCACCACCTCCTCTCCGGCGCCACCTACAGCCGCCCTCCACCTCCGGCACCACCTGCTGCCGCCGACAGCCCCCTTGCCGCCACCTCCTCTTTCTCTTCTTCTTGGTTTCTTATCTTTTCTTCTTATTTTCTCTTATTCAATTAATCATTAGTATTATGGGAGATTTATAAAAATTATCATAACTACTTTTATTTAAATAAAATCATATTTTTAATGATATTTATGAGAAATTAATTTAAAAGGTTCATGTACATATAGTTGGGAGGTTTTAAATTTAGTTATTGTGATTATTTGTTAACCTTATATTGATTAAGGTTATATTTATTTGTAGGGTGTGTTCGATCAAGATTCTTGAGGTTCCTTTTGTGTGATTTTTCTAATCAAGGATCAAGGTATGTTAGGTGGCTAGATACCTTGAAAGTGATTGGTATGAATAAGTATGTTTGAATGATTTTATGATGATTGAATTAAATTATATTGAATTGAATTATGATTTATGAAATAAAAGTATGTTTAAATAACTGGCTTTAATAATTAAATTTGAGTATTGATTTTATATCATGGTTTAAATAACTAAAATTATTATTCATGTTTAAAAGGTTTGATTTTGAAAGCGTGTGGAACTAAATAAAAAGGAGTTTAAATTATTATTTTTAAAAGTTGAAATTATTGGATTTAAAGAGTATTTATTGAATTATTATTATTAATGCTTTACAAGCATGTTGCTAATCCCACTATGCGGATTTGGTTTATTGATAAGGCCCTGGAATTGTATGATCGGGTCTATCCTCAAGGATAGCCTTGTAATATAAGGAGACTAGCTTGGGGGGTGTGCACACTTGGGTGAGGAATTGGTTTTAAAGGAATTGGATTTTATTGAGAAATTGTTCTTATTGAATTGACTATTGATATTGGTTATTGAAATTGGTTATTGAAATTGGTTTTGGAATTTTGAGTTGGAATTATTGGTTTAAATATTGGAAAGGATGGAATTGATTTCAAAAGCATGTTTGCTAATAAATTGAGTTTAATTATCTTGCACTTATCCTACTTAGCATATCACTAGTACATAATTAACCTTAAGTAACACCCTAAAAGTGTTACACAAAGTGGTAAAATTGTTATTATAGACAATAGGTAACACTTTATTGGGTGATACATCGGCCCGTGTTACCTAAGGTCTAATGTAACACTTTGGGTAACGTTAGGTAACACTTTCAAAAGTGTTATTATAAACCCTTTTATGTATCACTTTTAGCATGATTAGTATCATTTTTAAAGTGTTACTATTTATTTCTTATGTAACACTTACTTATCTTTAGTAACATTTTTCAATCATATATACAGTATCACTTTATCCGACATTATGTATCACTTTTTCGAACTTACATAACACTTTGTTGATTATTACGTAACATTTTTCAATCATGTTACGACATATAGTAGCACTTTATTCGACATTATGTATCACTTTTTGCAAAGTAATGTAACACTTTATAGATTAATAAGTAACATTTGTTGTTATTATTATTATTATTATTATTATTATTATTATTATTATTATTATTATTATTATTATTAGTTACTATATTTTTTTAAAATATAAGAAGAAAAAAATTATATGTACAACAACTATATGAATAAGTAAGTAATCAACACATGATAGAAAACAATTTGGATTGAAATACTTTCATAATTCTCACAAAAAAAAAAAAAAAATCCATAAACACCAATTTTAATGTTTGGCCAAACAATATAATAATCCAAACACAAAGAATATTAAGTTCTATCTCTAGCTTGGAAAAAGTAAAGAAAAACAAAAAAAACTTCCAAATTTCAAAAAAGACAACGATAATCATATAAAACATTAATAATAACAATGTATAGCAGCACCTACACAACTAGCTAGCAGAACGACAGATGTAGTAACAGAGGCTGCCATCAGCAGTCTTTAGCGGCAACTAGCAACAGCAGACAATAGTGGAAGCTTCTAGCAGTAGCAGACATTAGTTGGCAGCAACTAGCAGTAGTAGACATCAGTTGGCAGCAACCAGCAGTAGCAGAGCAGTGGCAGTAAACCGAATGAGCAAGAGTCAGCAACATAGACAACAGTAGCAGCAAAAAACAGCAGTAACAACAAAAAAACAGCAGCAAAACAGCTGAAAACAACAGCAAAACAGCGGTAGCAGCAACAAAAAAGCGATAAAATTAAGTTCTTGTAGATCATCAGTTGCTATCCCTATTCTTCATCTTCATCCATTTGATCCTATGTGTGAAAGCATCATGTATCAAACAACTAGAACAAAGATGAAATAATTCAATAATAAGAGTTAGTGCTTTTTAAAATATTATACATTAACCATTACCTCATTTCGCTGTTGCTCATTAGAGTGTACAATGGGAATATGATCTGTAAGTTCTGGATTAGATGACACATTTTCAAGTGATCATGTCAAAGTATTCAACACTTCAGGATCAATTTGCTTGAGCGTCTTCATTAATTCTGCTATAGTTTTCACAATTTGGTCTTTATAGGGCTTTAAGAACTCATCGGGAATTATTGGATTGTTGCTCTTTCCCCTTAGTGAACATATTCCCGGTTGCTTTTTTCTATGGCCAAAGTTGTTTGGTTTATTTATTACTTCATAGTATGCAACATCTCTATCAATTTCATTTTGAATTTGTACCTCCTCCATCTTGTCCTATAATGGAAATATAACAATCAAACAATAATTTTAGACAAATTAAATAATCATATTCAAAAAAATATGCATACAACAGGACTTACGATGTTACTTTGGGTGGGCTCATAAGATGTTTTGTATTTATTGTCTGCTTTCCTTTTACGACTTTCTTTGTACATGAGTGCTAAGGATGGTGGCTTGTTTTCAACATCTAGTTGTTGCTAAAATAGAAAAACACATCCAAATAAGAATTGAATAAATATTGTTTACATGATCATAGTGAGAAAGATAAAGAAGGAAGAATGGTATAAAAACATAACAATTTATGTTGTTTCCTCGCGAAAGTCATAGGACCCATAGTGTGCCTATCTTTTTTATCTATACTTATTTCCCTTTTCTTTTTGTTGTCTTCCTGCATGCATGCATAACACATGGTTTATAGTTTAACACATTTCAATTTGAGAGGGAAATAAGCAATTGTAATATAAATGCAAACAAACAACATAACTTTACCTGGACTGGTTCCAAATTCCAAAATTCTAGCAACTCTTTGAAATGTGCTTCTGAAATTGTATTAGGTGGATTTTCCAGCCAATCACCATCATCGTCGTACGGAGTAAAGTGTGTTGCCTTTACACTACATTTATATCTACGCCAAAGCCTTCCCACAGATGACAAAACACAATCTTCCCCATTTTCCGAGATAATGTATTTCTTCTGTATTAAGTAAAATATTAAACAACAAAATTAGGGAGCAATAAATTATGCCAGCTTTTGAATTCGTTAAAAAAAAAAGTGCATACCTTCACGTAACTCCAAATTTGTTCCTTGCCTGGAACATAATGCCAACTAATCTTGTTCAACGGCGCTAGAGAAGAATTACGAGCTAAAGTCCCTAAGAATCTTGTAAATGTATTCACAGTCTTATCAGAAAGGACCAATAGGCTTTCCCATTTCATTAAGAACAATAGGCTTATGCTCCTCTAATGTCCATTCATGGACATCTTTACACATAGTTGGTCCTCTGGTTCGCTTACTTTTTGGAAGTGCTACATGAATATTAACTCGACAAAGTCATTAAAATCATATATGGCTCTTAACATATCTATCTTAAAATATTTAGAACGGAATGATAGTGATCATTACCTATTTGTTCACTTTCGTGCTCTTGATTCATTAGTGGTACATCTTGCATTATTCCTAGCTCCTCAGGGGTAAGAGTACTCAAATCCTCACTAAAATCATCTTCTTCATCTTCATATTATTCCAAAATGCGTTCATTTGAACCCATATGATTTTCATAATCTTCTTGTAAGTCATGTCCAAATCTTTGTGGTTGTGAAAAACTTTGTGCTTGTGACCTCCCCAAATGCACTTGTGAACTAGCCATGTAAACAGGCTGTGAACTAGTCATGTTAATAGGTCGTAGTTGCCGTCGTAGTAATAAATCACTTTGTTTTGCTCTCCTCTCTTTTTCTAGCAACTGTGTTTGCATTTTCCTATAAGCACTGAGTGAACCAGGGGCAACCACTGTCTTACTCTGCCCTGTCTTAGTTTGGGCACCATTCCCAATATCAACCTCTTTCTCTTGCTGATTATTGCTGCTGATTTTTTCTGTGTAGTAGACTTGCCCAATTGGATTTTTCTTTGCGTTGAATCTCTCCCTTGTAACCCTTGATCTATGTGTTGTCTCTCAGTGTCTTGAAGATGCATCTTAATTCGATTAGCCATTGGTTCTGAAGAGACAGATGTCGTGTCCTTAATGTTTGTGGTTATCTTCTCTCTCAATGCCACAACCTGAAATTAAGTATTCACGAAAATCATTAAACAATTATGATTCACAAAATTAAGTTGAAAAAAAACCACCTTCTTTGAACGAGACCTCAAGTTTATAGCGTTTTTCCTTATCTCATTTTCATCCTCTTCACTTGAGAGGTTCAGTTCAGCCTCTTCATCAGGTGTATACTCGTCAGTATCTTTTGTCACCTTCTTCCTTTTTTTCCTTTGTTTCGATCCCTTCATCGACTGTTTCATTTCATAAGCCATGGAGGTAACCCCTAAATCCTTCATCCTGATTCTATTTTGTTCTATAGTTTTTTGTCTAAGTTTCTCATAGTCTGCCATCTAAATCTTTCTTCCTACAAATAACACACAAGGCAGTCAGTTTAGAAGTTTGTACAATGTCTACAGCAGATATCTGTTCGCAGATTCGAGAAAAAAAATTTTGAGCATGTGTTTTATACTTAAATTGCTAAGCAAGAATTTATATAACCTGTCTAGTGTCCACTAATGTTAATAAGCATTACCTTGGTCTCTAAAATAATTTCCATTCTCTCGCCAGAAATGGTGAGGAGATTTGCTAAGTTAAAAGAATATAAGGAGGGAAACATTGAAGCAGAAAATGTAGCTTTTGATAGATACCACACCCAAAAAAAGGCAACACACCAGCCAGATCACAATTCCTCTACAATAAATTGTTGCAGCAAGATATAAGCATATACAACACTATTTCAACACAAGTCAGATCACAATTTCATCAAAAAAACTCTCATTTATAATGACAGACTTAAATATGCAACACAAGTCAAGAGATCAAATTACTCCCCACGCATGACTCATACAACAAGTAGTTGCATCAGGTTCATTAAAATGTAAGGGACTAATCCCAACTCTAATCATGCAATTCTCATGCTCATAATCAATTCCATATTTAAAATTAGCTTTGAATTTCAGTTCTGAAATTCAGAATTGAATTCAGTTTTGAATTCTGTTCTGGATTTCAGTTCTGAATTCAGCTCTGGATTTCAGTTCTGAATTCAGCAAGTGAAGACAAAACCAGCCACTAGATCAGTTTGGGGAATTGTGTATATAAATGAAAACGGGGGGAAGCTTAGGGCAAACAGTTTGTAGTAGAGTATCTGTGAGTGTTATGGGCTAAACCCACTAATTGAGAGCTGTAAGCTTAGAACTTATGTTTTGGGGCCTTGTTGTTAGTTGAGAAGTGGTCTTAGTCCATTACAATCCCGTACTTAGTTTTCATAACCTGCATGCACTAGATTAAAATATAACATTTGTTGCACATGATCTTGCCTTCAAAGATCTAGGTATTAATCATCTATTCTGGAAATAAAGAGAAATGATTTACCCTAGATGATACTACATAGTATTTTACAGGACCTAGGCCTTAACACAATCAGATCAAGCAAAGTAAAAATTCAGTCCACTAAGTTTGGGTTTAGAGCACAAGACTATCAGCCCTGACTTTATATTCACCTGATTGACCCAAGACCGAGTCAAAAGGTAATACAAATAACACAATTTCATACAATTATTAATAAAAGCACTTGAGCACATAAAGAGCATGCATATCACCTGAGCACCTGAGCACAAAAAAAGCACAGGATGAGCACCTGATTGCATAAAATCATGTTATTTGTCAAAAAGAGCAATGCAATGCAAACTTCAGTATACATAATAGTATGATCACCTTATACTCAACTCTGATCATCTAATAGTCTGAGGTTGATATTAATCTTGCTAATACTCAGACTGCTAATAGTGCAAAGATAAAAGTTCATTGAAATTATGTCAATAGTAGAAACTACCTCAGTGAAGCCGACACAACTCGCTTGCTGCCCGAGCACCAAGATAGCACACAGCTCAAAACTGCCAAATGTAAACACTATCACTATAATATCAAACCTAAAATAAATTTAACAATTAAAATAAAGGTTAGAGTAAATTCTAAAGCACAACACCAAATTTAACCACTAACTTATAAATTTCATAAGAAAACAAGTTCAAACAGAAAAATAGCACACTTCAATAATAGTTTGTCAAATCCAAATAATAAGTTCAAACGAAGGTTAATTATAAAAAAAAACAATCTAAACATGTCACTTTGATGGTTCCATCCAATCCCAATCTGTGTCATCTATATCAGAAAATTCTTCGTGATTTTGATCTATCATTTCACGGTCAACAGGCACCTTAACTCTATCATAAGCAACTTCTTTGCACCAACTTTGGTGTTCATCATGGTCTGTAGTCAGAATTACATCCTCTGCAGGCTCATGAACTTCATTCATATATGTGTGTTCAGATTGCCCCTCGGCATAAAAAAAGTCTCTTGGCAAATTTCTGTGCACATAATGCCAATCTTCTTCAAGGCCATCTTGAGTATAGAACACTTGATGCACTTGTGATGCCAAGACAAAAGGATCATCTTTAGAACACAATTTCTTAAAGTTAACGCGAGTGAGTCCATAATCATCTACTTCCACATGGAACCAATCACACTTAAACAACACAACACTAAATTCACTCCAATAATCGACCTCAATTATCGATTTTATAGCCCCGTAATATGTGACGTTACCAAGAACAGGATTGTGATCCTTGCTACTTGCGAAGCTTGGAGTCAAAGCGGTTAAAGAGACTCCGCTATTTTGAGTTTTACACCTTTCATCATGATCTCTAGTGTAGAACTTATATCCATTACAAAAATATCCAGTGTACCTCCTTGCAATAGTAGAAGGACCTTTTGATAGCCACTTAATATGATCTGGGACATTATCCACCACAATATTTTCTCTAAACCAAACCATGAATTCATTGCTATGCTCTTGCGCCTCTTTCCACCTTCTTTTTTGTTTGTCTCTAGACTTCTTCTTCACAAACTCTTCATGTTCCCTTCATAGTATTAACCATATAAGTAACGTAATAAAATAAAATATAAATTTCAACACTATGGATAAGATATTAAAAAATTACTCACTTGATGTAATTCTCAACTTGGTCATCTTGACAATTAAACAACACATAACGATGTGCTAGAGCCATTGTGTCTGAATCAAGAGTGTATGCCTTCCCTTTCTTCTTCCCTTTCTTTTTCCTCCCAAGAGGATAACCTGCCTTAGGGAATAAAGGTGATTCTTCATCAATTTCATCAGTTTTCTCTTGACTTGTGTTAAACCACTTAGATCGCTTCTTTACACTAGCATTCAAATACCTAGAGCAAATCAAGCACTCTTCAACTAAATAACCTTCTGCTATAGAAGCCTCAGGACGACATCGGTTTTTAACATATGATTTTAACTTTCCGAGGTACCTTTCTATAGGGTACATCCACCAATCACACACCGGTTCACCACACTTGATTTCATCAACCAAATGAATCGGTAAGTGGATCATTATGTCAAAAAAAGGTGGAAATATTCTTTCTAGTTCACAAAGAGTCTTAACAATTCCTGCTTGAAGGTGATCCAAATCTTTCGGATTGATGACTCTCTTGTATATTTCCTTAAAAAAGCCACTCAATCTCATAAGAGGTAAAGCAACATGCTTTGGTAAAGTTTTCCTAATAGCCGACAGGAGCAAGTGTTGCATTATTATATGAGCATCATGACTCTTGTACCCTGATATTTTCCCCTCCTTGACTTGTACACACCTTGCAATATTTGATGCACAACCTTGGGGCAGCTTTGCCTTCTTCAAAACACTACAAAATATGCTTTTCTCTTCCTTCGTCATTGAGAATGATGCTTTGGGCAACAAAACATATCGCTCGTCATCTGCATCCACGGGATGTAGTTCTCCCCTTATACCCATTTCTTGCAGATCTAATCGAGCCTTATGATGATCTTTTGACTTTCCAGGTATGTCTAACAAAGTTGCGAGCACATTATCACAAACGTTTTTTTCAATGTGCATGACATCTAAATGATGACGACAACCACAATCTTTCCAATAAGGCAAAATGTGGAAGACAGAGGACTTTCTCCAAGGACAATCTACATATTTCTTTTTTGGTTGTAACTTTCCAAACTTGTTTTCCCAGTTTTCCAACAAGCTTGAAATTTGATCCCCTGTTAAAGGATCTGGAGCTGTCCTCTCTTCCTTTTCCCCATTAAAAGACACCATATCATGCCGCCAAGGATGATTTTCATCTAACCATCGACGATGAGCCCAATAATAGGATTTGTTACTATTACTCAAGTGATGATGATCAGTCTCGTAGTGACAATAAGGGCATGCAAACTTCCCTTTGGTGCTCCAACCCGATAACATAGAATAACCTGGAAAGTCGCTGGTCGTTGATTGTAGAGCTGCATGCATCTTAAATGTTTGACGCTTCCCCGCATCATAGGTGTCCAACCCATACTCCCACAAATCTTTGAGTTGTTGAACCAATGGTTGAAGATAGAAATCAATGTCATTTCCAGGAGAGGTGGGCCCGGGAATAAGGAGAGATAGCATTAAGAATTCTGGCTTCATACACAACCATGGTGGTAATTTATAATTAATTAGAACAACAGGCCATGTACTATGTTGTGTGCTCATAGTTCGAAATGGATTGAATCCGTCACTTGCGAGGCCCAAACGAACATTACGTGTCTCATTAGCAAAATTTGGGTACTTTTGGTCAATCTCTTTCCATGCCTCACCATCAGTAGGATGCCTTAATAACTCATCTTTCTTTCTTTCTTCATCGTGCCACCTCATTAGCTCTGCTGTTTCTGAACCCATGTACAACCTTTGAAGCCTTGGTTTAAGAGGGAAATGCCAAAGAACTTTTTCAGGGACTTGATGCACTTTCTTAGATGGTTGATTGTTAATATCTTCTTGGGATTCAGTCTGTGTTTCTTTTCACCTTGGATCATGACAAACATAGCAAAAAGTGGCAGCTTCATGCTCCTTCCAATATAGCATACAATCATTACGATATGCATCAATCTTGTCATAATGAAGACCCAAATCTTTTATAAATTTCTTTTCCTCATTAAAAGAGTTAGGCAAATTGGATGCATCTGGTAACACTTCTCGAAAAAGCTCTAAAAACTCTGAAATTTCTATATTAGTTATCCCATGAGTACACTTCAAAAGGTAAAAAAACGAATAAGAAATGATAGCTTTTAAAATTTTTTGCACCCAGGATATAACTCTTGTTTTCCATCTTCAACTAACTTATAAAACTTCTTAGCCTCATCATTGGGCTCATCTCCAACACCTTCATACCTTTCTGCCATCTCTCTATGAGCATCATATATCAGACGTTCAATATCGTCATGCATGTCCTCAACATCCCTCTTAGTATTTGATGTTGATGACTTGCCCTTTTCATAGCAATGCCATCCTTTAGTGCCATGCTCGATCCCGTTTACAATCAAATGATTGAACACTGTCTCCCTATGATGCCAAAAGCGGTGATAACACGCCTTACACGGGCAAGTAATTTGATCTCCAATTTCTCGTGTAGAGAACGTGTTATCTAAATAATCCTCTACACCTTTCTCGTATTCATGATTAGATTGTAAGAAGTTGGTCCAACTACTTATTTCTTCTCCTTTATGAAAAGTTAAACATACACGAATTGAGAGATTGAAAACAATCACATATAATTTTAACATGTCTAAAAGGATGACAATATTCATAGACACATACTCCCATAAAGTAAGACATGTAGAAATAGTATTGTTCCAATAGAATTATGTATTTCACTACTAAACAGATTCTACTCTAGGGACTTTGGAAGAAGCAAAAATAAGTTTCTCACTCATTATCACAGTACCACACATATGATGTGTACACTTTTAGGATGAAAAATAACATAAACAGGTTCAGAAGTTCTTCACACTATCTATATGGTGGTGGAAATTATATTTATCTCTCTAAAAGATTATAGGAAATGGACAATTAGTCTCTTATGAGCCTCTACGAAGATAAATCCTCCATTATGAGCCACACACATGGACCTACATGAAATTGTAAATTTGTAATAATCTAATAAACGATTTAAATATTTGTGGATGGTGAAAAATACAAAATCAAAGCAACCTTATCCCTCCTCAAATACATCATCTTTGCTCTCTATCACCTAAAACTCCATTACCAACAACAACAAACAACTGCTTTCACTTCTTCAATATCAATAGTTCTACTACTAATCATGGTTTATATCATTATATGGAATTAATTGGAAATTTAATCCACTAACTATGCTACCCAACAGAGGCAATTACCATTAAAGATGGATTGTTTCATCAGCAATGAAAAAAAAAGAAAGGAAACACAAATTCACTCGAATAATGCAAACAAGCTTTAGAAGTAGCAACTAGAATGCCCTCTATGACATGCATGAACTCCAAAAAAAAAAAAAGCCAATAGCACAGAATTAAAATTTAGAATCACAAACCAAACTCGAAATACCCAAATCAAAAAATTCAATTAAAAAATAGAACCACATCAAACACAAAGGCAATAACCATTCACAATTCAATCGAAAAATAAAAGCTTTAATTCATACATTCTTGAAAATTAAAGGTTAATAACCAAAAAATTAGAAAACCATCCATCACAAATCATAAAGTACCTGAAATTAGAAGCACGAATACAATGAAACCAATATCACGATGAAATTGCCCAAGATGACTTGATTTCAGATTGCGCGAGACGACTGATTTTTTAAAGAAACTTCAATTCAGACAAAATTGCGCGAGAAGACTAATATTATGATGAAATAGTGGAGATGACTGATTTCTGCTTAAACCTAATCGATTATCTATCGTTGCTAGGGCTGTTGAATTGGGAATGAAGATGAAATAAAATTTTGAGAGATTGCAATTTTCTTTTCTTCTAGTTTGTTTTTTTATTAATCTGGCGGTTTTGGCCCAAATTTTGTTTTAACTTTGGCGGCTAATTGGCTATTTTAATGAATTGATATAAATTTGGGGATTAACACATGTATTTTTTTTAATTTCAATGTTTTATTTATTTTGTTTTTCCAAAAATAAGGTGACATCTATATTTGTGTTACCATAAAATGCTACCTATTTTAAAAGTGTTACTTTGAAATGTTACTTATGCTAAAAGTGTTACATTAAGTGTTACATTTTAATAAAGTGTTACCAAAATGTTACTTATAAATCTAATATTTTGCATTTTAAGAAGTGTTACTAATCATGTGTTACATAAACTCAATTATGCACTAGTGTATTTTGCTAATTCGTATTTCTTATTTTGTTTTGGTTCATCCTGTTTACCTTAATGGTAAGCAGTGTTGACTAATTTCAGGTGGAGTCAATAATTGAGCATATGGAGTCCCGGGAATTAGGAAATGTTGGTTTTGTGTTTTATTTTTTAGTACTCATGACAATGGTTACTATTTATAGTCTATTATTAATAAAATAAGAGTATTCCGCTGCAAAGTATTGGTTTTGTTTAGTAAGTTTGAGTAGCCTTGCGTAATCACGCGACGATAATACGTCTAAGTCTATCTCTACGGTATAATTATACGTATTATACTAGTATTTCCGTAGAGGGAGATTTGGGGGTGTTACATCAACATTATCAAGTCATTAATCAATTAATACAAGATCTACCTTATTTATTTTATGGAGTACTAAGCATTTAGGTTAAATTTCAAAAAACAAAGAAAATCCATATTTATACAAGCTTTATTTTACAATTCGGTTTTCGGTTAGGATTATTGGATTTAGGGTCATCTATCCGATCCAATCCGAATTTCCAAATAAACCCCATCCGACCCGATACGATTTAAAGTTCGGATCCAATCCGAATTGATAATTCAGTTTGGATAGGATTGAATTTTGGTTTTAATGCGAATTTCGGACACCTTTAACTGAAGGTTTACTCCATTGCTGATTAGCGTAATCTTCTTCTTAGTGACATTTTCTTCTGTTTTCCTTCATTTTTCAACGCCAAACTTATCCTATAATAAAACTTTGGGGTTAATCATTCCCTTTATCTATCTATTTTTTCATTTTGAATTTCTTTGTATATTTATGTATAAACATAAATTGTTAGGGTTATGGTGCATTGAAGGTGAAGAATTATCCGAAGAGGAGAAAGAAAACGGTATTGTTGATGAGTTTTACTAAGAGAAAGAGATAATAATATAAGAAAGTGATGGGAAGTGGAGGAAGAAAAAGGAGTAAAGAAGATGAAAGTGGGTGGGAAGAGGAGGAAAAAGAAGAAAGAACAAACAGAGTGAACTAACTGTACAGTGTTTTACAACAAAGGATTTCAAAGAGATTAAAAGAAAGGTTTTAGATATACTCCGATAATTGTTGTGTATATTTCTTTCAGATTATGTGGGTATTTATGGTACCCTTGCATGAACAGTGTTTACTCGATATATTAAACATGCATTGAAATGTCTAATCGAGCATGAGGTTCTGAGAAGCATATTTACTCTTGCATGGGAAGATTAATAGTGACGTGTGGCGGTATCCTTAATCCGTTCATATTACGCATACGATGCGTATTACAACACGCCCCCTTGAACGGATTTTTATAGGGTAACTCCTATCTAAAATTTACATTTATGTAAAATAAATATTATCGCTATTGTACCTATATGTTTATCTGCCTCATTAAAACCTTACAAATAAAAACCCCGTGGGATAAAAACTTGGACTAAGGAAAAAGAGTATAGCACATATAGGGCTCCCCCTAAGTTTAGATCACAAAGACGACGCATGCCGGTCATATGCACGAGTTCTTGAAATTTGCTAGGTGGTAATGCCTTCATGAATAGATCGACTAAGTTGTTGCATGAATGGATCTAATTGACATCGATCTTGCCTTCTGTTACCAAGTCATGATTAGAAAAGAACTTGGGGTCGATGTGTTTTATTCTATCACCTTTGATGTAGCCTCTTTTAATTTGTGAAATACAAGCAGTGTTGTCTTCAAAAATTGTAGTTGAGCCTTCTTCGATTGTTTTGATGTCGCTTTCTTTTATTATATGTTGGGTCACAGATCGCAATCATAATATATTCCCTACCAACTTCATAAAGGTCAATCAATTCAGGTTGGTTTGATGAAATTGTTGTTAGTGTCTGCTTGGTTGACTTCCAAGAGATTGATGTATTTCCATAGATTAAAAGATAACCTATTTGTGATTTTGATTTTACTCAATTTGATAGGTAACCTGCATCTGCATATTCCACGAGAGTAGGATTTCCGTTTCTTGGATAGAAGAGCCCTAAATTGATTATTGTTCCACGTATATAGCAAAGTAGGTGTTTTACTCCATTCCAGTGTCTGCATGTAGGTTTAGAGCTATACCTTGCTAACAAGTTCACCAAAAATGCAATGTTTGGCCTAGTGCCGATGGCCAAGTATATCAAAGCTCCTATATATTGCACTTAGGTATGGCAACGCTGAACCAAGTACAGCTTCACCTTCTTCTCAGGGTCAAAATGGATCATCTTTGATGTTTAGAGCACGAACAATCATTGGTGAATTCAATGGGTGTGCTTGTTCATATAGAAACTTTTTAATACTTTCTTGGCATAGATTGACGAATTAAGATACCATCTCTTAGATGTTCAATTTGTAATCTGAGACAAAATTTTGTTCTTCTAAGGTCTTTCATTTCAAATTATTTCATCATACATTTAGCGGTTCTTCGATTTCGTTATGTGTCACGATGATGTTTAAATAATTAACATGCACCGCTATTATGAAAAAACCATTTTCGGTCCTTTTGATGAATACACATGGACAAATTTGGTCGTTCTTATACCCTCCTTTGAGTAGGTACTCACTTAAATGGTTAAACCACATCCTCCCAAATTGCTTTAAACCGTAGAGTGATTTTTTCAATTATATGGAATGTAGCTTTTGAGGTTGTGACCTCAAAGGTTCAGGTAGTTCAATTCCTCCAGGGACTCTCATATAGGTGTCAGTATCAAGTGACCCATAAAGGTATGCAGTCACAAACATCCATCAAATGCATTTGTAGTCCTTTCCATGCTGATACACTTATGAGGAACCTTAGTGTCGTGGCATCTACCACAAGTGAATATGTTTCCTCATAGTCGATTCCCGATCTTTGCGAGAAACCTTGGGCTACAAGTCTAGCCTTATATCTTACAATTTTGTCATTTTCATTTCTTTTTCGTATGAACACCCATCTATACCCGACAAGTTTCACTCCTTTTGGAGCCTGAACTGCAGGACCGAAAGCTTTGCGTTTTGCGAGAGATTTTAATTCAACCTAAATGGCTTCTTTCCATTTTGGCCAATCACTCCTTAGTTGGAATTCATAAACATATGATATCTCGGTGTCCTCAATATCAGTGATGATTTCTGTGCCAATTAAGTATACGGATACATCATTGACATATGTTTTTACTCTATCCCACTGTGTTCTAATCTGGACGTAATTTATTTAAATTTCATGATTGTCGAAGATTTTGTTTTCACGCTCCCCCTAGATTCATCTTGGAGGTTGACGATAATTTCATCATTTTGGATTTGATCCACTTCATTTGAGGAGTTTTCACCCTTTTTATTCTTCATTTCCACTCTTTTGGAAATTTCTCGGCTTTAGATCTTTAGCTTTGAGGGGTCTGCCACGTCTTTAGCGTGCTGCAAATTTATCTGAAAGTGGATTTCATTGCTGGTATAAGTGACTTTGTCACTCTTTTGTATCAGTGAACGTCTGGCAATAATTGATTTACGATGTTTTGCAAATGTATAAATTTTTGCACTTCTTGTACGCACACATTTGTCCTTGGATCAAGGTAATATAGGTTTTGGGCATTCCATGATATTTCTTTCCAGCATGGGTCCTCTTTATCTCCCCTAAGGTTGGGAAGAATGTGTCATTAAAGTGACAATCTGCGAACCAAGCTGTGAAAAGATCACCAGTCAATGGTTCGAGATATCGTGTGATGGAAGGTGATTCATAGCCAACATAGATTCCCAACCTTCTTTGTGGGCCCATTTTAGTACGTTGGGGTGGTGCTATGGGAACAAAGACTACACATCTGAATGTATTTAGATATGTCAGACTAGGTTCCTTTCTAACTACTAGTTGCATTGGAGATAACTTATGCGTTGCGCTCGATCTTAGCCGTAGCAAAGCAACGACATGCATGTATTATTGCACGCATGTCCCCATGCAGAAGGTGGGAGTCTAGATTTCATGAGTAATGGCCTAGCGACTAATTTGTAATCGCTTTATGAATGATCACTAGTAGAAAAACTCAATTTGGCATCGGTTCAAAACCCCCATAAGGTACCAGTTTTGAACTGTTGAGAATTTGGGGGGTGCCAATTCATCTAACAAATGCCACCGGTTCAAAATCGGTGACAATATCTAATATTAGGACCGGTTAATCGGTGCTATAATTGATTTTTGGCACCGGTTTACCGGTGCCATAACAATTCCCATTTTTTTTGTATTAAATTCAATTGGCACCAGTTAACCGGTGCCATTTCATGTATTTTTTTTAGTTTGCTTTGTTCACTTGACATATAATCAGGGAATTAAATATAAGCAAAATAATATCAAAATCAACCAAGCTTGAAAATGAAATATAATCAGAAATATATTCATCATTAAATTGTTATTCTACAATACAAAAAAATAAAATAAATTACAACATCAAAATTAAAAAAAAAAAATATTACAACATCGAAGAAAAAAAATTTACAACATCGAAGAAAAAAAATATTACAACATTGAAATCAAAATTCCAAAATCAACACCTTGATTCTTCATCACCTGCATCAATTAAAACACCGAAATTAATAAAACTTACAATAAACTAAAATTACAAAAATTAAACCCAGAAAATAAACCAAGAAATCACGAAATATAAACCAATAAATCCCCCCCCCCAAAAAAACCCCCAAAAAACCAGGAAATTGAAAATAAAAAAAAAACTAAAAAAAAAAAAACCAAAAACGCATGCATTAATCCAAAAAATTGATTATTTTAATCGAAAATTAACCTAGAAAAATCATATTAAAATCCGAAAATCGATTAATGAAACCCAGAAAAATCAAATTAAAATCCAAAAATCGATTTAAATCGTTTAATTAAACCCAGATAAATCCAATTAAACCCAAAACTCAATTAATTAAACCCAAAACTCGATTAATTAAACTAAAAAAAACCAGAAAACTCAAAATAAAAAAAAACCCAAAAAAAAACACATGCATGAACCAGAAAAATCGATTAATTAAACCCAAAATCAAACCCAAAAACCTCTCCATCCTAAAAAACCCAAAATCAATTCGAAAAAAACCCAGAATAAATTAACCCATAATCAATTCGAAAAACCCTAAAATCAATTTGGAAAAACCCAAAAAAAAATCAAAAATCAGTTAACCCAGAAACCCTAAAATCAATTAATCCCAAAATCAATTCGGAAAAACCCAAAATCAATTCGAAAAAAAACCTGGAATAAATAACCCATAATCAATTCGAAATACCCCAAAATCAATTCGAAAAAACCCAAAAAAATCGAAATCAATTAACCCAAAAAAAAATCGAAAATCAATTAACCCCGAAAATTAATAACATGCACTAACCTCGGACTTGGTAGCGGCGGTGGTTAGTGGCAGTGGTGGGATGTCGGAGAAGAGAGGTTGGAGAAGAGAGGGGAAAAAAGAAGAGATGGGAAAGAAGAGGAGAGAGAAGGCGGACATAGAGAGGTCGGAGAGAGAAAGGAGGACAGAGAAGAGAGGAGAGAGAAGGATGAGAGGAGGAGAGAGAAGGAGGAGAGGTCTAGGGTAGAGGTGATCAACATTGGCCCGGCCCGCTAGCCTGGCCCGATCCGACCCAAAAATAGGGCAGGTTTGGGCAAGCATAAAAACGTATTTTTAGTTAAAAAGCCCGAACTTGGCCCGAAAAAGCCCGAAATGCCCGTTTTGGCCCGACAAGCCCGCTACTTTTTTACGGGTTTGGGCATGATAAATTGTGTTAAGGCCCGTCCCGGCCCGATTTTTTATCACCTCTAGTCTAGGGTTAGGGTATATAAGGGAAGAAAATAAGGAAGGCCTTTTTTTTTTCTTCTTTTTTTTAATAACAAGGCCACCGGTTCAAAACCGGTGGGATTAATGTTTTTCCCACCGGTTCAATTCAAACCGGTGGCAATATTCTTCCCACTCGTTTCCCCCCTTTTTTTCCCTGGCCTTAGGGCGGTGCCAATTTTGTTTTTTCACCTAGTGGATTCTGCAAGGCCATTTTGTGTATGAACATGGGCTACTGGGTGTTCCACATTTATCCCAATTGACATACAATAGTAATTAAATGTTCGGGATGTAAATTCTTCGACATTATCTAACCTAATCCTTTGGATTGGATAATCCGAGAATTAAGCCTTAAAATGTGTGATTTGCGCAAGAAGTTTTGCAAATGCAACATTCCTGCTAGAGAGAAGACTAACATGTGACCAACATGTTGAGGCATCAATTAACACGAGGAAATATCTGAACGGTCCACATGTCGGGTGTATTGGCCCGCAAATGTCTCCTTGTATTCTTTCAAGGAATGCAAGATTTTCACCTTCAAGTTTACCTTTTGAAGGTCTAATGATTAGTTTGCCAAGTGAACAAGCTTTACAATGAAGTTCATTTGATTGTGGGATCCATATAGTATTTAACGATTACCCATTTGAATTTTTAATGATTTTTTATCATCATGCTTGTTCCAGGATGACCCAAGCGGTCATGCTATATATTAAACATTTCCTGGTTGTCTACCTTGTGGTTAGACACTAAATATGTTTCAATTGGAATGATATAAGTAAAGTACAATCTTGAGGAGTATGTTTCTAATTTTTTAAGAGTCTCGTTATTTTCAGATTTTCTTTTAACGAGATACATATACTCCTTATTGTCATTGACGGTTTCCATGTGATAATCTGATAAGGTCATAAAAGTACATTATTTTATTTATTAGACTCTTCTTTTTATATTGACTTTTAATGATTTAAATGTTTATTAAGTAAAATTTTCTTCCTGAGACACGAGTTATTACTATTTGATTTATTTGTTTGTAGGAAGAAAGATTACGGTATCAAAATGCACTTTACCAAGCTCGGAAAAAGAAACAAATCTTACAAGTGAAGTCACATACGTTAAGCCCAATAGTCACATGTATCCTGAATATAACAAATTAACAACTTGACCCTCAGCCAAAGCAAAAAGAACAAAACAAAAAGAAAAATAAAGGAGCAGCTACTCATTTTTCTCGCGGGTAAAACACAAAGTTCTCCACCGACTTTTGCGGGTACCAAACTGTCAAGCAAGAGATGATGAAGATGAAATTGGATAATTATTGGAGCAAAATACTCGGTGTAGTGGAGATAATGAATGGAGGTTTCTTATCTTTTTGTTGGGGTTCTGGGGAGTTATCAAATCCGTTTTTTTTTTTGGATTTTTTTGGGCTAGGTCTGAGGAATAAATTGAAGATATTAATTTGAGGTAGAGGGGGGACGAAAGTGAAGAAGCACAGAGAAGGAGTAGCGGATTTCATGCGAGCAAATCTTGGAGCAGTGAAGTTCTTGGCATCTTCCTTTGTAATCCTCAAATTGAGTTTGGTACTACATTAGTTTAATATCTTACTTTTTCTTATTGAATTCATTTTGTTATGATTGATATCTTATTAGATTATAGGATTGAATCTTATTATTTAGTATATCTTTGTTAAATTATTGCATTTGGTCAATATTGGTACTTAATTGTTTCGTTTAGCTACTGTTAGCGTTATCAATATAATGTTTAACTATTTCTTCCATATTATGAAGTTTCTGTCTATAATTGTTATTATTCTTTCAACTCTTAGTATGTCAGGCTAGATAAAACAAGGGTAGGGAGATATATTATGCATTGGACTATTGTATTGTGAGACTTGATATGCTTTAATTATTAGATATTATGTTTATATTCTTAATTGGTTTGATAATCTGCTTGAATATTACGAATTTATTGATTATATTTGGGACCAACCATCTTTAGTATAATTTTCTAGTTTGACGACTAGAGTATTAGCTTGTGATCCGTAATTGTCCTAGTTAATATCATTAGTAGTGATTAGGTGTTTGATTGGTGACCAAAACTTGTCATACTACCTAAGATTATCAACCCTTTGAGATGCACAAGTCCGAGCTTGTGAGATTTGTGGCTTAAGTTAACTACTTCCTTGTTATTAATGCGACTAATTAATCGAGTCTAGAGAGCTTGTTCTAGATTATTAGTTAGTTAGACAATATTCCGAGAGCTTATTTGGTGTATTTGCAATTAAGGGAAGTTTCGAATGCTTGTTTGTGTTCATTGGTTAACATTAAAATATAAACGTAATTCATATTATTCGATGAGCAATAATTGATACTCCAATGCAATATATCTTTCGGTCCTTATTTCATTATATATGATTTGTTAATCCCTTAGTATTACTATTTATTATTTTGTTTAGTACGTAGTATATATTTCTCTTAAATTTGCCATTAAACACAGGGGTTTCTAACTTACACAAGTAATAATTTGATAATCCAATCCTCTGTGGGATCAACCCTAGCTTACCCTACTGCATTTTAGGAGGTTTTTGTTAGGTTTATTTTTGGTAGACACGCGACAGTCGTACCAAATTTTGGTGCCGTTGCTAGGGACTTGGCGTTTTATTACATTAATACTTGTGTTTTTGCTAACTTTCCTTACTAACGTGTCATCTAGTTCTTTGTTTGTTTATGTGTGATAGAAATTCAAAGAATAAAATAATAAGGGAATTTGCAGCAAAGAACTAGGGACTTATAATTAATCCTTTTTCTACGTCTTTTGTAGCTAAAAGGACTCGTGCTCAAATACTGGAGCAAGCTCGTCAGATTCCGTTGCCTCTAAGTGAGAGTTCATCTTCGGAAGAGGAAACTGAAGAAATTTTTGAGATGGTTGACCGTACCTTAAAGCAGCTTGCTTTTCCTACATTTGATCCTAATTTGCTGTGCATATTAGATGGCGGGACAAAATGTGAGATCAAGCCTGGACTGATCAGAGCATTACCCACATTTTTAGGTTTTCGCAATACTAGTTCCTTGGGTTCAGTTTACATGAATGAGGCGAACAGATTTTTGAAGGAATTTCACATAGCATGTTCGGGGATGAAACCTGCTGTTGTAACCCTTGATCAGATCAAGTTAAAGGCATTTCCTTTTGCTTTAGCTGATGCTGCCAAGGAGTGGTTGTTCGGACTGCCTGCAGTAACCATCACAACCTAGGCTCAAATGCAAGAAAAATTCATAGAAAAATATTTTCCAGCATCTTTAGCAGCAAACATTAGGAAAGAAATATGTGGGATTCGACAAGAAGATGCAGAGACACTTCATGAGTATTAGGAGCGTTTCAAAAAGCTATATGATAGCTGTCCTAACCATCAGATCAGTGAGCAATTGCTAGTGCAATACTTTTATGAAGGGCTCACGGAACCGGATCGGAACCTAATTGATGCTGCAAGTGGCGGAGCATTGGTTGATAAGACACCCATAGAGGCAAAGACATTGATTGCAAACATGGGCAGCAAACTCTCAATATTGAGGAGGTTGAAATATCAAGTCTGGTTTTGTACATCAAGTTAATGAAGTAATGAGTTCTAACTTTGTGTAACAATTAGCTAACTTTGTGTAACAATTAGCTAAAATCACTTCCTTAGTGGAGCGAGTGATGATCGAAAAATGGTAAGAAAAATTTTGTGGCATATGTTCGATACCAGGACACCCAACTAACATATGCCCCATTATGCAAGAGGAACAAGTGAATTATGTTGGTGATGTCCAGGGGCAGCAAAGATGTTATGATCCGTTCTCTCAGACCTATAATCCGGGGTGGAGAGATCATCCAAACCTGAGATATGGAAATGTTCAGCAACAGACCAACAACTCCAACCTCAGACAACCAGCTTTCCAGCAGCATCAAGCATCTAATCCTCCACCTGGTTTTCAACAACAACCGCAATGTCAGCCGCGACCTCAAAACCACCAAGTTTCCCAGCCACAATCTGGTAGCTTGTCTCTGGAAGAAATCGTGAAGGCAATGGCTGACAACACTTTGCATTTTCAGCAAGAAACAAGAAGTGGATTAAAGAACTTGGAGAACCAAGTTTCTCAGTTAGCTAACACAGTGGGAAAGCTCCAAGCTCAGAACTCTAACAAGCTTCCAAGTCAACTAGAGAGAAATCTGAAGGAGAATGCAAGCGCCATATCACTTAGAAGTGGCAAGCAGTTGGAGGTTCCAGAAAAAAGCAACAGTGAAGTGTTGGCAGATTACCAAGAGGAACAAGAGACTGTTGTTCTAGGAAAAAATGAGCAGCCCTCCAAGGTAAGTGATGTTGTTTCATCTAAAACTAACCATTTTTCTTCTTCTGTTCCTTTCCCTAGCAGGTTAACTTCTAAGGATAAGAAGAAAGAGATGGAAAAGGAGGTGCTAGATGTATTTCGCAAGGTAGAGGTGAACATACCTTTACTAGAAGCCATTAGACAAGTGCCACGTTATGTAAAGTTTCTAAAGGATTTGTGCACTAACAAGCGGAAATTGAATGGAGATGAAAAGGTCAGTGTAAGTGAGAACGTATCTGCAGTTATATAGAGGAAAATTCCTCCCAAGTGTAAGGATTCAGGTATTTTTACTATACCTTGTAGAATAGGCAACACGAGATATGAGAGGTGCATGTTAGACTTAAGAGCTTCTATTAATGTGATGCTTTTATCTATTTATAAAGCTCTAAACTTATAACCTTTAAAAGATAATCGTGTGATTATCCAACTTGCTGACCGTTCTAATACTTATCATTTACGAGTGATTGAGGATGTCTTAGTACAAGTAAATGAACTTGTGTTTCCTGCTGATTTTTACATGTTAGATATGCCAAATGATGAATCCTCTAATTCAACACCAATCTTATTAGGGAGACCTTTTCTAAAAACATCTAAAACTAAGATTGATGTTCATAGTGGGATTTTGACCCTGGAATTTGATGGGGAGGTTAGTACGTATTTGGTATTAAGATCTATTGTATAGACTTAATAAAATGTTTAAACGAGTAAAGGAATTTACCATGTTAAAAATGAATTGAAGGACTTTGAAAGACTTTCGACCCGTATGTATTAAAACTAAGTAAAATTTTGAACTAAGTGTGAACTAAGCTAAATACTAAGTCAAACAAGAAAGACTTTAGTAGAGACTTTCAACCATATCACATAGCAAACAATTTAGCAAGACTCAGTGAAATTGGATGAGCTAAAATATAACGTGGGTGGAACAAGATTAAGAATCATTCTACAATTAAATCCATCATGTACTCTATGATATGGAATCGTCGCACAACTTAATTGCTTAGAGCATGTGAAGTATGTATATAGTACCAATCAACCTGAACCTATGTAATAGATTATTAGATCATTGCCAAGAACATTCAAAGTACTTGGATAAGTAACATGATGAGTTCTTTACTTGTGGAAACAAATACAAATTGAGAATTGATGTTACAAGCACAAAGCTGAACAAGGATTAGATCCTTAACAAGGAAGTCGTTTATAAGCACAAGCTAACAATGAGTCATGGCTTGAGAATGGTAACATGGAACTGCATCCATGTATAATGTGTGAGAATTTAAGGTAAATCTCCATGGTCACAAGTGATTAGGGTATCCCAAATCATTGTGAGCCATTTGGAGTTAAACCCAAGCAAAGCATCATCAAGAAGTCTACTAAAATTTATGTTGAGAATATTGTTGCCATAAAAGGCGATAATAAAGAAGATGTTCTATAGAAAGTTCATTATTGAACGTTAATGATTGTAGGTTGTCAAGTTAAAGATCTCAATCATGAAAATGAGTGGGAGCCATCACTTGGACAATAAATCCTAAATCACATATAATCCATGGCACTCTAAAATTGTATCATCTTATTATGAAAGTGATCAGTAATGAAGATGCTAAGATTAGCAAAGTAATTATAACTAAACCTATGCAATAAGTGTACGATAACATTCACAATTACATGAAAGAAATCAAGCATATTAGATATGGGTGTGATTTCTATAAATGTTTTATAAAGAGTGTTACTCTTAAAACATTCAGAAAAACCATTTATCATAAGATGAACCATTCAGGTTTTGAAGTAATTTAAAATTTCATACAGTTTTATCACTCCGTTTGCTTTTTAATTATGGTTTAGGATTAAAAAAATGAGTCCATTCAATTATGAGAATATTTAAAATAGGGTATCAAGACCGATCTTGATAAGGAAACACCTATTAAGTGAAAAATGAATATTATAATAAAAATTTATCCCTAATCGAGGTCATTTAAACGATGGACAATTAGTGACCACTTGAGATTAGTGTGTAGTTTGATTTATAGCACAGTTTCTTGTGCTACAAGGACATGATTATCATAAATCATTTGCACAGGTATTGATTTAGAACCATACTGGATCGACATATGAGAATACTGTAAGAGATTAAAAAATCGTCATAAGTATACTTCTCATTATGGCTATCGGAACCTATTTCCTCGACCATGAGTATTATGAGTTCTCTTGTTTGAGTACTAGTCCGCTTTGATGTTTTCAAACGTCTGGCATAAAAGGGGATTATAACAGAAACAGTCGGGAGGCTAGGTCCTCTAAGTAAGAGGAGCTACATTATTAGACTGGGAATGTCCCCCTATTAAAAATAGGGAAGATGTCTTTGTTCTTTACAAGGCCTCTCGAAGAGCGAGACTGTAAAATGCATGGCCGTGCTCGGATGGATTTTAGAAATATCTGTATATTGACAACAAGACTCGGGATCGAGAAACACTTCTGAACATTATAAGGATGATGAATAAATCTTACCTTATAGTTCATGAAGTGACATTAAGTGACAAAGGAAAAAGGCTATACACTAAAAGTGGGAGATTGAAAGGAATGATGTCCTTTGAACAAGTGTATTATTCCGATAGAGGGTTTGAAATTATTAGAAAGTTAATTATTCAGTGAGGTCAAGTGATCGGAATTCCTGGGTGGAGGCCACTTCCGATCGGTAATATTAATGATTAATTAATATTACAGCTTAATCTTGACTTAACCCTTCGGGTCACACCCAAGAAACTAACGAACCAACGCGACAAACTAATTCAAAAGAAATGAATGAGTCACCCAAGTTATTAATATTTAGACGTCTGAAATTCGAGCTTGGAGCGTCGAATCCGAGCGTCAAAAGTCAAGCCAAAATGTAAAACTTGGCGAGACGGGAAAATTCTTCAAGTAACAATTAAAACCCTAGCCACGCGATAGGCTAGGGAAGAGCGCCAAATAGAAGTGTGCCACGTGGCAGCGTATATGGCAGCACACGTGGCAACACACATGCCAGTGCCATGTGTTGGCCACATTGGCAGCCGCGAAGTGGCAGTAGCCACGTTGGCAGCCACTAAGTGGTAGCGTGCCAGGCCACGTGGTAGCGCGCCATGTTGTCAACGCACCACGGTGGCAGCGCTATGTGGCATGGGCCGTGGACCCGGGTGAAGGGTCATGAACACGGTCCAAAAAGTGTGTGGCCTAACCGAACCCAATTGGGGGATCAAGGTTGGGTGGCATGTGGTTAGCTCACAATGCATGTGAGCTGCCTTAGGGAGCAAGTGAGGAAGTGGTCCTCACCTAACCATGTGCACTCGTTACTTAGTTATTCCTTGGTTTATTTAACTAAGGATTGAATTTGCCTATCTTTCCATGTGGGATCTTTTTGTGACAAAGTCCCACATTGAAAGATGAGTGGAATTCACAAGGAAGCTTTCCTTATAAATACCTGTAGACACCCATTTGTGTCTCCCCAAAACCAAACTCAGTGATGAGTACCTTTCATGTCGAATCATAATCGAATGAAGTTAAAGTGTGGAAGGTTTAGTGTTGCGGATAGTTTTAATTTCTTTTCTCTCCTCTCTGTTTTTGAAAACTTATTTTAAGAAAATAGCCAATCCAGTTTGGTTGGTCCATGATATGGGTCCAATTGTAGTGTAGTTGGATGTGGCTTGCAAAGACCTTTCCAACGATATATTATAAGCCCAATTCCGATGAATATTGAGGAAGTTATGACCAATTTACCAAACTGGGCCCAGTTTGAGCTTTATGTGCGGCCCAATGATCTAGGGGAGGGCCTAATATGATTTATCATTCCTAATGAAATTAGGAATGGTTTTAGTCTTCTAGAATCTTCTAGAAGGTTCTTTTCATTCCTAACTTAATTAGCATTGATAAATTGACTTTTGATTTTTCAGAGTTTTAATCAAAATCAAATAACATTTTCGAGGAAATTATATGATTTTATCCTCCAGTACGGAAAACTTATCTGATTTTCGAAAACGCGTTGAAAATAGGCTTGGCGCCTTACCCCAGGCTTTGGCGCCTAGAACCAGGCCTGGCGCCTGGCGCTAGTGTTGGTGCCTGGCGCCAGTTAGCCAGGGTTTGCGCCAACTCTGTTTTTTGTGCGTCAGACTCTGTTTTGTTTATTTTATCTTTTTGGCTAATTTCTCTATAAATATCGTATTAAAAACTCCGTTTTCAATCATCTACATTCATCTACAATCAGTTTTAATTAGCATTCGTTAATCTTTCAATTTTCTCTTTTCTCTTTCTTTCTTATTACTTTGCATTTCAAATACAAAATTCCGCATTCACAAGATCTAGAAACACCTAGCCATATTCCAAGTTGCCTTCGCCCTAGACGTGAAAGAAAGAGGTACAAGGCATCAAAGTAAGTGCTGTAATGGTTTTAATTGATTTATTGATATAATGATGTAGAAATCATGTTTATATTGTTATTATGATATTCATAGTATCATGTCTAGGGTAATTGTAATATTAAATATGATTGTTACGATGCTTCCTATGTTCTTCCTAATATTTATGATTGTAGTATCATGTTAGGGCTAAAGATTTGATTTTTATTGCTTAGTGACATGCTAGGGTTTGTTATTAATCATGTTAGTATCATGCCTAGGATCTTGCTATTATTATGCTTTAATATTAACATGAATATGATTATGATTATAATTGTTATAATTTATGATGATTATGAATATTATTATTATTATTTTGATGATGATTATTTTATTTTGATTATGATTATTATTATGATTATTATAATTATTATTCATGATGATTATTTATTATGTTGCTTGATGCTTATTTATTTTTATTGCTTGATCACACCTTTTATGCATGTTTAAAGGGAATTTGTACTTGTAATCACGCTTAATGAGATAATTAATAATCTTGTTTAGGGTTAATTGTGATTATAATTCAAGTGATCGCCAATAATAGATTTATTTGTGCATTAATATTCAACCAACATAGATTAAACAGGTTTAGAGTTAATCCTATTGATTGCATGTTAATTTAAAAGCGCACATGAATACGATCAGAATAAAGTAGAGGCCTATTATTAGGGCAGGTTCAATCTCTTTTAGGTTGGATTTGTACCATCATCCCCGAACCTTTATTTGGTTCATGACCTTATGGAGTTGACGATCTCTTGGATCGTTAAGGGGTGTAACCTTTACCCTGTGAACAGTTTATAAGCTCCTAAAAAACTTGTTGGCGACTCTTTTGCTCTATCTTCTTCCCTTTTGGACGCCACCGTACTTTAGTGTATGATCACAGTGGGGTTCAAGCTAGTGGGATTAAAGCTTGAAAATATTCCCTACAGTTTTTGGCGACTTCACTGGGGAGGATTTCTATTTTAATTCCTGAATTTGTTTCGGCAATGATTTAGAATGAGTGGATGAGACTCGAAAAGTTCTAAGTATTTCATG